CTAGTTTCTGTTTTTCTTTTTGCTCTACCTTCTATGTGACTCCATGACCTTTATTTCCTAACCCTTCTACAGTTTTCCATTTTTATCATATTTTTTAATTTCCAAGAGCTCTATTTTGTTCTCTCACCACCCCTTTTAACAGCATCCTATTCTTGTTCTGTGGATGCAGTATCATTTCTTTTTTTTCCGAGGATGGTCCAAATGAGTCTTTTTGTTGTATTACTGTTGTCTTTTCTTCCTACATAGTCTCAAGTTCCTCTAAGTTGCTTTTTTCTGTGTGTTCATTTTGGTGTCTACCTTTCATGGTAAAGATTTTCCTCAGATGTCTAGAAATCCTTGGCTACCTTGTCACCATAAGACTGAAAAGCTGAAGGAAGCTCTGAATGCAAGGGTGTAGCTTGACAACAGTGAACTTCAGCGTAGGACCATCTACTTGGACCGCCTGGTGGGCAACTCTGGATGTCAGTGCCTTTAAATCCTTACTTGGGGGCTGGTCAAATTTTCCAGAGAGACTTTAGTCTCCTGCCTACTTTGTGAAGCTCTGACTTGCCCATTTTCCCAGAACGGGCAGAAGGACTGCAAGGTCTCAGCAGCAGTGTGCACATGGCCACAGAATCCCCTTGCTTTTAGTACAGTGTTCCTGCCTCATCTCTGCCCAACGCCCCCCAAACCGTAGATCCTCCAATTTACTTCCTCCAAACCTCCCGTCTTTTGTGCCAGGTGGGAAAAAGGTTCCTGGCATCCAACTATTAATTTTCCCAACCCTTTTCCTGATTTTAGTCCCCTTCTTCCCCTCTACTTCTACTTGAACCTGATGCTTCCAATTTCCTGGTCTTTTGCAGATTTACTGCAGAGTAAATCAAGGGGGGCTCTCAGCTTTCCTCACTACCAGTTTGTATTTCCATAGTCTCGAATCTGCGAGACCATTTACCATCTGTCCTTATGCTTCCCAGCTTCCAAAATGTTGTTGCTGTTGAGTCCCTTCTGTTTTGCTTGACTTTTTGGGTTTATGTCTTTTTTATTTAATCCCTTTAAATGGAGTTTTGATAGAGATCCAAGATAAATGTATGTGTTCCATCTGCCATCCTTACTCCGGAGTCACATCTCCAGGAATTTCACACTTCAGCTGAGACAGTAGAGACTGGGATTTTCAGAAGCATTATCCTATTAATCCTGTTCTTTATTTTTATATGACATTTGATTCTATTAACAGCTTCTTCCCTAAAAGTATACCTCAGTGGCATACCGAGGCCCAAGCACTTAGGGCAGTGGGCACCAGAGGCCAACTCAAGGAGCCTATAGATATTTTAAAAGGATACAATGGACTAAAAGTCTGTCTGCTTATTATTATCAACCCATGCCAGCAACAAAACAAGGTCAATGATAAAACACTCCTTTCTGAAAAATCATTTGTTAATCTAAGTTCTAAACAATTTCTGCAGCTACTGTTGATTTTTAAAAATATATATGGGGGCAACTGACTGGCTCAGTCAGAAGAACATGAGACTCTTGTTCTCAGGGTTGTGAGTTCGAGCCCCACATTGGGTGTAGAGATTACTTTAACAAAAAAATCTTAAGAAAAAAAATATATAGAATATATATGTAGGCTTCGATACAGCACCTTTCTATGTCTTGTCCTTTAACAAGGAAATTAATTCAGAGAACACGGAGAATACAGTAGGCCTGTGACACGCACAGACTCAACTGCACACACGTTTTGAGGACACATTTGAAATGGTTCCAAATTGTCCCAACTCACTTAGGCAAAGGGCACATCCCCAACCCCCAAGGTACTACATCTCCCAGCACAAGAGGGATTTGACAAATGGGGCGGGCACCTGGGTGGCTCAGTCAGTTGGGCATCTGCCTTCGGCTCAGGTCATGATCTCAGGGTCCTGGGATCGAGCCCTGATTAGGGCTCTCTGCTTGGCGAGTCTGCTTCTCCCTCTCCCTCTGTGCGCTCTCTCTCTCTCTCAAATAAATAAATAAAATCTTAAAAAAAAAAAAA